TTTAACATTATGGTACAAGTTCAAGTTGTACATTAAAATACCAATGCTTTATAACACAATAGAAGTGTTGAATCTGGGTAACATGTTGGTTGGTGACATGTTAACATCGTCCCATTATGAAGAATGGGTTCTTCACATGAATGATGCTCTCATAGTAAAGAACAAATTCATTTTTGTGGATGGTAGTCTTCCCAAGCATCATACTCCGAGATAGAAGGGTGCTTGGATCCGTAGCGACGCCATGTTGAAAGTTTGGTTGAAAACCTCCATGGACAAGGAAATTTGTAGCAGTATTCGCTTTGTCGAGAATGCCATTGAAATCTGGGTCAATCTCCATCAGCGGTTCGACCAAGGAAGCACTTCGCAAGCATACAAACTTCGGCGGCTGATCACCTTACTGTAGCAGGAAAAGCATATTGTCTTCGCCTCCTACACAAAGCTCCACTCTCTTTGGGATGAAGCTTCGACTATCGCTCCTCTCTCGAGATGCACTTGCGGCCTCTGCACGTACGGAGTCTCTCGGCAGGTTCGTAGCAGAAAAAAAGCGCCCGGTTATTCGATTTTCTGATGGGGCTCGACGACGCTTTTGGAGCTGTGCGGTCCACATTCTGGCCATGAAGCCCACTCCTTCCTTGGCCGATGCCTTGAAAAATTTTCTCAACGAAGAGCAAAAGAAGAATTTCATTAAGAATCACAAATTCCAACCCAAAGTAACAACGTTAATAGCTAAAGTAGATTCTGAAAAGAGAGTTCGTGGCGTGAGGGAGCTAGGTGATTGTCCGCGTTGCACACAATGTTAACGCTTGGGCCACCTCCGTGAGATGTGTTACGAGCTTATCTAGTATCCCCTGAGGGACAAACAAGGAGACATGCCACTACATCGGGGTAATAATAGGTCGGTAAAGGGTTCGAGCTACAAGCCTTGAGGCAGGTGACCCCTTATCCCATCTTTTTTTGTGTGCTCAGAGGGCTTTGCGGCCTTGCTACGAAAGGCAATTGAGGAGAGGCGCCTTGAAGAGGTGTGAGTAAGTCCGGGGGCTCGCGTGTTTCACACCTTTTTTCGCGAAAGATTCATATAACTTCCTCTGGGGGTTCTCCCCAAGAGTTTGAGGGATTGTTGGAGATCATTCGTGATTATGAAGTTCTTAGAGGCCAACAGGAGAACTTGGAAAATTTGGGTGCTTGTTTTAATAAAAATAGTATGCCCAAGGAGCATTCGGATATGGCGATCTAGTTGGGTGTTGGGGCGATAGAAAGGGATTTTTACTCACACCTCTCAAAAGCTATATTTAAGGGATTTTTAATATCTCGCAAATTTAGGGGACAATATCTCATTCGTATCAACTCAGATTTTAAATGGATTAGAAAAACCATATTAGTTGGAACTTGCCAAATAGAAGTTTTAAAAGATTATGATGAGTAATTTATAAGAATTATATAACAACATCAAAGAGAATAGTAGTTAGATAACAATCTACCTCTACGCTTCTATTGTTTTTAACGTTAAGTTCATTCATTAGAGAGAAAACGACGTACCCACTAAACCCTAAAGTTTTTTTTTTGCAAAATAATGTATCTAAATTTTTTAATCGACCTATTTATTATTAGGCAAAATACAGCTGTATATCCACAACTATCAGGTTTGTGACAAATATATCCACAACTATCGAAATACACGAAATATCCAAAAATCAGAAGGTTGTGTGACAAATCTATCCACTTCCGTCTGAAACTATAACGGCGTGTCAGACGGCGTTAAATTGACTAACGGAATGCTGAATCGATGCCATCTCACCTGCCACATAAGCCAAAAAGCAACCAAACTTTACACGTAGATGCCAAATAGGCTAGTTGAATAAAGGCAAAATACAGCTGTATATCCACAACTATCAGGTTTGTGACAAATATATCCACCACTATAAGGTTTGTGAAAATATATCCACAACTATCGAAATACACGAAATATCCATTTCCGTCCACTCTGTTAACTCCGTCAGTTAACTTGATGACTGGACAGACGGTGGATGCTTAGTTGGCGTGTTTCTAGCCCCACTGAATGACGTGGATTAAAAGAGGAAAAAAATTAAAAAAACTAAAAACCACAGACGGCGAGACTAAAAATCCAACCCAGAAACATGGCCGATAACCATTTATCCTCCTCCGATCGACGCCTCCACCCCCAAATAACCCTACGGCAAGCCCAGATTTTGATTCCAACGACAATCCCCAACCATTGCCTCCCTTTTACTCCGATAGCTTCCATGCAGTCGGCGCCATGGTGATACCAAGCTTGAATCTCAAACAAAAAAAAAAAAGCTTGAATCTAACCAATTTGCCAACAGAGAAGACTGCAGCAACGAGGTCTAACAGATAATAGTGTAAAGTTTGGTTGCTTTTTGGCTTATGTGGCAGGTGAGATGGCATCGATTCAGCATTCCGTTAGTCAATTTAACGCCGTCTGACACGTCGTTATAGTTTCAGACGAAAATGGATAGATTTGTCACACAACCTTCCGATTTTTGGATATTTCGTGTATATCGATAGTTGTGGATATATTTGTCACAAACCTCATAGTTGTGGATATACAACTGTATTTTGCCTAAATTTTGTTTCTCTTTTAATCCACGTCATTTGATGGGGTCAGAAACACGCCAACTAAGCATCCACCGTCTGTCCAGTCATCAAGTTAACTGACGGAGTTAACGGAGTGGACGGAAATGGATATTTCGTGTATTTCGATAGTTGCGGATATATTTGTCACAAACCTGATAGTTGTGGATATACAGCTGTATTTTGCCTTATTATTATTCTGCATCGTGAAAAGCTAGATATTTTGGAATTTCTATTGAGAAACTACTCAAAGACAGCGAGAAAGTGGGAGAACATTCGTCTCCTATCCCATACAAACCTAGAGCATGGAGTTAAATTTTCAGATCAAGCTCACTGATTACAACATCGTGAACCCCATAAATGGGTACACAATTTTGAAGATAATGAAAGATGAAGAAGAGCAATTTAAGACCAAGTTCATGACATGTACTAGGTAATTTAAGTTATTGAAAATGGAGTTTTCTCAATTCAAAAAAAAATTTCCATTAAATTTTTCCATTTAGTAAAATACAAAAGAAGACGGAAGAGTGTGCTAACAGCAGAGGTAGTGAATTCAATAATGGAGATAATGACGTTATTAAGATAAAGAAAGAGATTATGGATGGTAGATATAAAAATATCTATAACGGGAGGAAATATCGATTGGTTGATAATATTATGATTTGTATGAGGTAAAAATATGCAACAATGAAAAGATGTTTCACATTTATAAATATTTATCATTAAAATTTAGTTTTCAATAAAATGTTAGAAAAGAAGGAAGAGACTATTGATGATGAATATAAAGTTTCATTAATGAAGATGAAATTGTGTGGAGAAGATGTTTTTGATAGGGGTGTAATAAAAAAGAAATCCATTATAAATTTAGCAGCAATGTCTAACAGCAAAGAGTAAATTGTGTTTTAAATATTAAGTTTTTAGGAATCGATTATATGCATGAGTTGTGTTGTTTACTTTTTTATAAAGACTTATTTTCCACACATGATCAATATGTTGTAAAACTTATAATGTATGTTTTTTATAAATATATTTGATAATAGAGTAATTTGGATTCTCTCCTTGTACCAAATAAATTATTCGGGTATTTATTATTATTGCTCATAATATTGATTTAATTCATCGTCGGTCCCAACTCTACTGCTAGTATAAACCAGTTTCACATTATAGGAATGGCAATGGGGCAGGTTCGGGCCGTGTTTCTTGGTACCCAGACCCGCCCCATAGCAGGTCGGGTCCAGGTTAGGTAATTTATCACAGGTCGCAGGTCGACTCAATGGGTGTGCAATTTATATAAAATATATTAGAAATATTCATTATTTTTATTATAAGACCAAGAAAACAAACAATATTTTGATAAATGTAGTTAAATTATTAGAGAAATGAGATTTTCACTAATTTATTACTTTATTATAGTTAAATTATGATGTAATAAAAGAAAAATCCCAAGTAATTTGACTAAAATTACATGTAATTTAGGCAAGAATAGGTCGAGAATGAGGCGGGTCAGGGCAGGTCGGGTCGATGAGAGTACCCATGCCCGCACGAGGCGTGTTGGACCCACCCAAAACAGGCCAAACAAGCCGGGTAAAACGGGTCAGGTCGAAATTGCCATCCTATTTAGGGGTGGGCATTCGGTCGGTTCGGTTTCGACCGAACCAAAATTATAAATAACAGGTCCCCGAATTCTCCCAAACCTCAAACCGGATTCGACCCAAATTATAATTCGGTTTGGTCGGTTTAAACCAAATTATAATTCGGTTCAGTTCGGTTTTAATACAAAACCGAATTTGTGAGGCTACTTGTATATTCTCTCTTTTAAAGTATTTTTCACCCCTAATATAAACAATAAATATGCAATTATATGCATAATCAATGATAAAATCAACTGCAAACATAAAAATCCACCATTTGGAGGTTGCAATTGTAGTATTTTTGTTTTTCGGTCAGAAATTCGGAATTTTAAATCGGTTGAAAGAATTCTAATTTCTGAAATATCCATATTTTCCTTCCGAATTTTGAACCGAATAGCATTAATTCGGTTCAGTTCGGGTTTACCGAACCATTTGCCTACCCCTAATCCTATTCACAACCTTCCCCTACCCCAGTTTCCGAAAAAAAATTCAGACAACGTGAAAACGGGTCGACCCGCCACCAGCACCAAGTACCAACCAGGCAACCACTCTGACGGTGTTATGTCACTCCGTCGCTTGACCTTTTCATCGTTAACAACGAAACCGCAAAAGAAAATGCGAAAGCTCCCAATTTCCTCCAAAACCTGAAGTTTCGATTTCTCCAAAGATCTCAGCTTCTCCGCTCTCTCTATCGCTTTCTACAGAACAGCAACATCAGACCGTCCGCCGCCCTTTTCCTTCGTTCTCTTCAATTCAAGGGTTATCTGAAATTTCGCCGTCTGGGTATTGCAGAAGTCGCAGCGTTAGTTTCATATCCTCATCTCCATCTGGGGTTTCGAAGATGGATTCTTCAGCCACAATCGGCACTTGCAACGTTTTCTCAGTCCGTCTCTCGCCAATTTGCAATCGAACTTCTACAACCAGAATCAGTTTCGGTCATGGGTTCCGATCGCACCGTTGTGGGTTCACCCCAAAAATGACGGCCGCCGTCCCCAATGGCTCTGTTTCTTCCTCCGGTTCCCAGGGCGTAAGTTCCCCGTCGCTGCGCGTTTCCCATTGCTAATCGAAGTTCAGTTTTCACTAGAATCTTAAATTCACAATTTTGGTTTTTCCCCAGGAAGATTCGAGGTTAGTGAAGAATGCTCACAAGCGCAGAAGCAGTTTGGAGTCTCTATTCTGCTACGACAAGCCCATACCAGAGGAGAGAATAGAGACGCCCGTCGGCGTGGCTTTAGCGGAGAAGGCAATCGGAGAGAATCTCAGATGTGCTGATTGTGAAGCCAAAGGTGCCGTCCTGTGTAGCACCTGCTCGGGTTCCGGCTTATATGTGGACTCCATTATGGAGAGCCAAGGGATCATAGTTAAAGTCCGCTGCCTTGGTAACTCATCATTCATTCCTCATTGCCTCTCTTTTCTTGTACTTCGTTAGTTGGTAGTTTAAAGGGGTTCGTATAAGAAAACAGCCTTTTTTCGTTTACGGATCGTGAAAGTACTGGACAGGAGGCTATAGATTCTAGGGTCTGCAGGTGGGTGAATTACAATCTACTTGCTGTAGTTTTGTGGTTGCTGCAATGTTTGTGGAAGCACGAATTTGAGCCATCAAGCTATAGATGGTGAAGATTCATTATCCCCAACTAGCATTCCACTTACAGTCATAATGATTTTGGGGACAAGTTCATCTGCCAGGTTGAGAATGTAGAAACTTTTTGCATTTTGTTTCTTGAATGACAAAGTAGAACATTTGTTAGATGGGTTGGACTAGTGAATTGGGAAGTTGATGGTGGTGAAAACATTAATTGATTGTTTTGTGTTGTCGGTGGCTCTCGTTCACCTTATAGTTTCTAATTTGGTACTAGCAAGAGAGCATCTGTGGTTGATTAGGTACGTAGAAGTAAGAAGCTAGGTCAAAGTCTTTCTGAGAGCATTTGCAGCTGGTGAATGGAGTTTAAATGTGCTGCTTAGTTCCATAGGTAGCTGCTGTCGCTGCAGAAGTTAGAATGCTTTTGAATTGAATGTACCATTCTCAATTTTCTTGGTGTTCTGGTTAGGTAACTATGTGCATTTACTCCAGGAAAGATGGATCTGTCTTATGTTCTTGCACATACGTCTCATCTTAGGCCATAAGGGGGATGTTGTTGTTGTATGCTAGCAAACTTTGTGCAAAAACCCGAATCGTTGCGTCAAGTCCTGTACTTGTACAAATTCCTTCGAGTAATATTGTTTTACATTTTTTTTGTTTTGATCAGGTTGTGGTGGAACAGGCAACATCATGTGCTCGGAGTGTGGCGGGCGAGGTCACCTTGGATGCAAACAATCTTAGGTGGTTTGTTGTGCTTGCTTTTTGTGTTTGTAAACAAAGAATTTGGCCGTCTTGTAACCTTCATTGTATCAAATGGTTTTGAGTTTCTTCCACCAATAACAACAAAAAGGAAAATAGTCCGAGTTTCAATTCGATTCGTAGTTCTGATCATTGGTAAAGATCTCATTGTTTCGTGAGATTATAAAGTTGTGTTTAAGTGAGAGTTTCAGGCAACTTTCTTCTTTTATTCTGGCCTTTACGAGTTGTCCTTTAGATTTCATCAGCAGCAGACGAGGTCTATGGAAGTTATACTTTGACAAATTCGGTCTTGCTTTTAAACAGTCTGCAATGATAATGCTTGCAAGGGGGATGCACAATAGAGGAAGCAATGTTTTAGAAACCGTACAATTTGATCTGACTGGAAATATCAGATATCGAATTCTAAATGGTATGTGATTTTAGTGGTACAAACTACAAAGTAATTGAATCTTGGTCTTAATACAAAATATCATATCACTAATTTTTCTTATATATAATTTTCGGTACGGTTTTACAATCATTGGAAGGAAGATTTCTGGAAGATTTCTGGTATAACTTCCCGTATGATTTTACAAGAAATAATCGAAAGACAGATGGTTTTACATATCTAATCCCAGCAACAAGCAAGCTTTAGTTGATCAAAATACAAGCACATAATCTCTCTCCCTGAAAAATTCAAATTAGTTTCCAATCTCGACAGGCTGAAACCCGTTGTCAATCGACTCCTTCACCGCATCCAAAACCCGCTGCGTCTTCCTGCTGCGAGACGCCCAAGTCAGATCAGGCTTCCCGCCATGAACCTTAATCTCCCCAACCAAACGAGACAGCTCTCGGATCAAGCAAGCCTCCTGCGGAATATCCGTCGATACAACGTGCTGGCTCGAAGACGCGACGAAAGAGGCCTCCTTCTCCGCAATCGGAATCACATAATCGTTGACCTCCAACGTCATCCCCTTTGTCCCGACAGCAGTGATGCTCGACTCCATCTTGGCCAAAAATGAGCAATGGAAAGTCGCCGACTTTCCATCTTCCCACTGTAGAGAAGCTCCACAAGCTAAGATCACTCCGGCCTCGCTGATAACAGCTCCCGGCGTCGCGATCACGGTCTTTGGCAGCTCGTAGTCGGCTGCCCAGAGTATGGAATATGCGCAGTACCAGCCCACATCGCCGAGTGCGCCCAGAGAATCGAGATCGGGATTCAGACGTATGTTGTCCTTGTGCAACCACTCGTCGGCGGGAAAACTAAGGCAGCTGTGTACCTGGAGGGAAGGAAAAAAAAAAAAATTGAAAACAGAGCAAAGCAACTACTCTCTCAGGGGAATTTCGTCGAACAGTTTGTAAGTCTAGGAAAAGCCGGCCTCACTCACTGTTCTGAGTTCCCCGAACCCGTCTTCGGACGTGAGGAATTCCTTCATCTTGGCGGTGCGGGGATGGTGGAGCCACATGGTTCCGTCCATGAACTGGACGCCGTTGGCGTCACAGGCGGCGAGAATCTGGTCCAATTCGGGGACGGAGACGGCGACGGGCTTCTCGAGGAGGACGTGCTTCTTCTTCTGCGCGGCCAAGGAAGCCCATTTGAGGTGGAAGGTTGTGGGTAATGGGATGTAGACGGCGTCGATTTCTGGGTCGTCGAGGAGGGCCTCGTAGGAGCCGTAAACCTTGGCGTCGGGAGGGAAGTTGTTGGCTGCGGCGAATGCGGTGGCTTTTTCCAGAGCTCGGCTGGCGACGGCGGAGAGCTCGGCGTTGGGTGCCAGACTGATTGCGCGGGAGACCTTCTTGGCTATGTCGGCGCAGCCCATTATGCCGAAACGGATTTTGGGTTCCGACGACATGATTGATTGATTGATGGAGCTCTGGAGGTTTGGTGTTGAAGGAGACAGGGGACGGGGGGAAATATATATATTGAAGTCGGAGAGTAGCTTGGCAAGAGTTAATTTTGATTTCGCTTTCTGCGCAGGAAAAAAGCTGTAATGGAGAAAATATAATATGGATGTGGTCCCGTCTGTGGATTCCGTTTTCGTTAGGGCCGGCAACATTAGCCTCTGTTTTCAGAACCGCATATGAGGCTAAACCGAAAAAATTAGTGGTTTAAGGTTCAGTGGTTAATCGTTACAAAATCGTCGGTTAACCGTTGTAGAACTTTTCACGATATATAACATGCAAGACTTGTGTATTACACTAATTTAAGAATATAGTTATCATTTATCCTAAACAATTTCAATTTTATATCATCACCCAAACATCTAATAAATCATTCAAACCGTCTCCCAAAAGAAATCATAATTTTTTTCAATTCTAATTAAAAATTACGATGTCAGTCGGTAGTGGACCACAGAAAGTCGACAACAAAGTTAGAAAATGAGAAGAGGAAGTAGTTATAAAATTAATAATGACGGTTTGACTGTCTTAGTTTATGTTAAAGTATTTTCTAAAAAACATTGTGGTTAAAATAGTGAACCAGTTAAACCGCGTTGGTTCATCTGGTTTTATGTTGAACCGTGAAAAACCGTTTGATCCACCAATAATCATCCAAGCAATGAACCGAACCGATATCATAACTGGTTTGACGATTCCACTAGCCTAACCGTTGATCCAGTTCGATTCTTATAACAAGCACCAATCAAATGCTACCATTCCAATAAGTGAGACAAAAATACAAAAGATAACACCTGTAATCAACAGAGAGAGAGTTTTAGACTCCAATTTATGGGTAGCGCCAACAGTGGAGACTATACTAAATTGTAAACTTAGATCTAGAGTTGCTGTCCCTCTTTTGTTGCGACTAAACTAACACAACCATATGCATGGTTTAATAGTAGTATAGGAGCAATCAAAGTTGTATCTCACGTTAGGGGCGGCTCTATGGGATGGGATCAGATGTTATGGTTCACTTAGTCACATGAATCAATCAAATCCAGCTATTCATTTTAAATTTTGATCCAATGATTTTAATTATTTTCATTTAGTGAAGTGTAAGATACCAATAATATTATTTATTAATTAAGATAATAATAAAGAAAGGTGGACTCCACCCGACAGGCGGCCCTTCCTACGGTGCTTTTCTGGTACTCTGCGGAGCCACCTTATAACTAGGAGGGGCTATAGGCTATAGCCCCCTCTCAACTCTCAAAATTGTGTAAATTTCGTAACAAACTGAGAAAATAGAGTAGGTTGTAAGCCTTTAGTGCTCTCTCCGGTAGTAATTTCTTGAACATATATTTTTAGCCCCCCTCGTTTAGATTTCTGGCTCCGCCACTACTCTCCCATGATGCTTTTCTGGGAATTTTCCAGAGAGGGAGAGATAGTCGACAACGAGATTAAGATTTATTGTTGGCGGGTAGAGAGAGAAAGCAGTGTGTTTGTAATGAAAGACTTGTCAATTTGTATTGTTAGTATTCTTTATATATAATATTAGTCCGATTTGTATAGTTTTATAATGCGGTTTGTATATTTTAATAGCTAGTAGTGTTAGTATATTTCGTGTTATTGGTTTGTTTAGTAAGCATTTGTATTTTGTATTGGTATTATGTTTTGTATACAATGTTATCTAATTTGAATGCTTTTATTATGAGATTTTTATACTTTTATGATTTTGCTTGTATACTTTGTGTTTAGTAAGCATTTGTACTTTGTATTGGTATTATGTTTTGTATACAATGTCATCTAATATTTATGCTTTAATTATGAGATTTTTATACACTTATGATTTTGCTTGTATACTTTGTATTACTTATTTGTATAGTTAGTAGTGTCAGTATTCTTTTTTGTCATTTGGTTTCTAACTTTGTATACTTTGCTATATTGATTTGTATACTTTGCAGATCGAGAAGCCATCGGTACTACTCTTGTGGCAGGTGTCGCCGCCCCATCTTTTTATATCGCCACTAGCATGATGCCTCCTCTAACAAAAATTCCTCCAGAAGTACTTCCTTCCGCCTTCTGGAAGCACCATGCACCTCCCTTCCAACTTGGCAGTTCCTCTTCCTTATGACATGCAAAGCTGAAAACCACTCGCAAAGAATCATGCTGAAATACCTTCACTGATGTCACTAACTTCACCCTCATTCCCGCCATGCATAGTCCAACCAGATTCTCATTCATCATATCCTTGCATATATTTTCCAGCTTCAGGAACTCTGACACGTACTCGAAAAGTGTCTTAGTCCGTCACTGCATGGCTAGCTCTCCCCGTGCCATCACGCAACTCTATCGAATTGGAAATTCAACTCTTCCTTGAATCTCATTCAAGTGATGAGCATCTCTTCTTCTTATTCTTCATATGATCTCTCCACCCATTCTCACCACTGCAACAGATTATCCTCCAGATAGAACGATGACACATGTGCCTTCCTCTCCTCCACGTTGCATGGTTATGGAACTGCCTGTGTGCAACATACAACCACAATCATGCATCCTTTTGACCACAACCACAATCATTCATCCTTTTGACCATCCCAACCGCCTGAATGGTTGGAGGGTTGACCCTAAACATTAGATCATCATCAGCATCATAAGTTGGGTTATAACCGTCATACCTGTCGATGCCATTACCGTCGGGGCGTCTATTTCCATTGTATCATTGCCCACGATCTTGTCTGGCTGCTAGTATATGAAATCTCATGCATTTTCCTCCTCTAATTGGTAGCCTCCTTCACCTCCCAGTCCAGTTCGTGACCCCAGTCAAAACTTGTCGGCCAACGACGTCACTATGGGAGGATACACTAAGTTACCCTAACTTGAAGGTTTTACAAGTCACCGTAACATATCCCAATTAGAGATCACTCAAATCGTGTGTTTTTAGTTGGTTTTAGGATAAATTACAAGGTTGGTCACTGAAAATACTTAATTCTATTCATGGTCACTAGGGTTAGTTAAACATTCCAAGTTTGGTCACTCTCTGTTAGTCTCCTCAGCCCCCACAAACACCATCATATTTTTGCTGATGTGGCTAACATAAATGCTAATTCACCTCAATTTCAACCCTTCACGTCATAAAAGCTAACTCACCATGTCATAAAACATGTCTCCTCATCAAACCCAACCTAACCCAATCCAACCTTTTTTCCTCGACCTGCTTCTTCTTTCCCTTCCCCATTTACATGACTTCAACTCATTCTCCTCATCCTCCGTCAAACAAAGAGAGCCGGAGCGAGGACGGGCGGCCACCAGAAGCTATGGCACAGGCGAAGAGAGAGCAGAGTTGCTTCTCCCACTGCACTCCACTACTTCCTTCTCCCTCCCTAAACCCTCTCCACCATTTTCGACAAAGGGTTTCGCCCCAGCAGGTTACCCGGAGGGTGGGGGGAATCAACTTTGGGGAAGGGGTCGCAATATGAAGGTTTTGTGTTTGGTTGGTACTTTAATCTTGTTCGATAACCAGGGGGCCGCCGCTTGAAGGGAGAGGAGTACAAGTGACGCCTGTTCCCGCCCTTCCCCCAATTTCTTAGCCCATTCCCAAACGGAAAGCATATATATATATAGATATAGAGAGAGAGAGAGCCTTCAGCAAGCCGATCGATAGAAAGGGATTTAGAGGCAGGAATGACGCCCAAGACCAAGCCATCAATGGATGGTATGCTTTCCCCTACGCAACTCAACTCCTTTTCCCTCTAATTTCGCCAATTTTGTTTACTGGTTAGGAGTAATGGGTTTAATACTCTCTCTAATCTTGTTTTCCCTTCTTCTTCTATGTGGCCGTTGTTCCTGGTTCTAGGACTATATTGAAGGTTGCTTGGACTTCCTACCGTCGCCGGAAAGAAGAGGAGGAAGATGAAGGGTTGGGTTGGGTTTAATCACGTGGTGGGTCGGATTTTCAACTTTTTTTGGTTCAAATTGGTCGATTAGGCACTTATGTTAGCCATGTCAGCAAAAAACTGACAGTGTTAACGAAGGCTGACGGAGAGAAGCGGAGAGTGGCCAAACTTGGAATGTTTAACTAATCCTAGTGACCATGAATAGAAGTATTTTTAGTGACCAAACGTGAACTTTTTTTTAATATTTCAGCGACCAACCGTGCAATTTACCAGTTGGTCTTATGAGGAAAATTGTGACACCTTAGGCGAATCACATATTGACAAAGCATGGGAGAGATTCATGTTTCGTAAGTAAGAAACCAACCTTAACTGACAAGATACATTTTGGTGTGAAATGAAAGAGTTCTTTTGATATATCATGAAGTTAAACATGGTCACCGTGGAGCACTGCAGGGACGGACAATCTATATGAAAGTTCCTTTGATATACACCACAACTCCAAAATCGTGAGGGTCTAAAATCAAAGCGGACAATATCTTGTCCCAAGCATAAAAAAAAAAAGGTTTCTCGAACCCACAAAATTTCATACGCCATATAAGTGTGCGCTAGAACTTTCAACATTAATCACAAAGTTCAGATAAGATTTATTCCAATCACTTGAAAATCGACTTCAGATTTCATGTTCAGCCTTGGAATAAATTTTCTAAACCAAGGTGACAGGCCTTGGAATAAATTTTCTAAACCAAGGTGACAGGCTGATAGCCCAATAGATTCGTAAAAATAAGAATTATTAACCAAAGCCACTATGCTGTCCTATAATAGAATCTGTTCCACTTTAACCAAAGCCATCCAAAACGTGCTAATTACCAATCTGCAGCCTCAGGCAATCTCAACGGGCACAAACCCTTTCTCAATCGACTCCTTGACAGCATTCAAAACCTGCTGCGTCTTCCTGCTCCTCATCCCCCACTCCATCTCCACTTTCCCCGCCCCACTCGCCTTAATCTCCCCAACCAACCTCGCCATCTCCCCAATCATACAAACCTCCTGCGGCACGCCATCGATCCCCACAACCTCCGTCACCGGCCCGGGTTCCCACCCCGTGACCTGATCGTTGAACCTGGCCTGCGAAGCCGTGCTGAACCTCGCCTCGTGCTCTTCGAACGGGATGATGAAGTCGTTGAGCTGCAGGGTCCCCTGTGTCCCGATTGCAGTTAGGAACATGGTCATGTGGGTGAGGAAGGAGCAGTGGAAGGTGGCTGATTTGCCGTCTTCCCAGTGGAGTGAGGCTCCGCACGCCAGGATCACGCCCTGTTCGCTCAGGACAGGGGCTCGTGTGGCGACGGCGGTTTTGGGGAGGTGGTAGCCTGCCGCCCAGAGGATTGCTCTGACACCGTACCAGCCGGCGTCGCCCAGCGCGCCGAGGGAGTCGAGGTCCGGTTTGACTCGGATGTTGTCCTTCAGGAAGGACTCCGGTGCCGCGAATGTGAAGCAGCTGTGGATCTGCGAACATAACATTGAGAAGAGGGGGAAATGATCATTAGGGATGGCATTCATAGTGCGCGAAGCACAAAGTTATTGCCGGTAAAAGTTTGGCGAAAACGAAACAGTGTTCGTAACGAACGACGTTTTTCGGGACAAAGATTGGACCAAACCGTCTGAGACTTGTTTGCAACTTGCAAGATCTCGAAAAATTATGCGGAATAAAAAATAGAAATTGTTACGCTCGGATAATCGAGCGCAAAGTCATGTTCATTTGAATTTTCAATACAGGTCAGACATTCATCGCTTTGGTTTGCCGCGATGATACTTTCACCGCTTTAGTTGGCCGCGGTGATTCATTCACCGCTTTGATTGACCGTGATGAATATCCAAACACGTGTAGATTGAGAATTTTTTTTTTTACAACAAAAAAAAATCTAGATTTGGTGGTGCACAATCGAATCGAAGACACCAACGAATCAAAGAGAATTAATCTATTAAAGAGGGGAAAGAGGAAACGGCCGTTACCGTTCTGAGCTCCCCGAATCGGTGTTTATCGTCCAGAAACTCCCGCATCTTGGCCGTCCGGGGATGGTGGACCCACATAGTCCCGTCCATGAACTGGACGCCGTTGGCCTCGCAGGCCCCCAAAATCTGGTCCAGTTCCGCCACCGTCACGGCGACGGGCTTCTCCAACAGAACATGCTTCTTCTTCTGGGCCGCCAGGGTGGCCCATTTGAGGTGGAGGGTGGTGGGTAACGGGAGATAGATGACGTCGATGTCTGGGTCGTCGAGGAGGGACTCGTAGGAGCCGTAGATTTTGGCGTCGGCGGGCAAATTGTTGGCCCTGGCGAATGCGGCGGCTTTCTCCAGGCTCCGGCTCGCGACGGCGGCGATTCGCGCGTTTGGAGCTAAATTGATTGCCCGGGAGACCTTCCGGGCTATGTCGGCGCAGCCCATGATTCCGAACCGGATGGTTTGTTCCGACGGCGACATGGTCTGGGTTTGGTTTCGCCGAAGAGAGGAATGTGGTTAGGATTTTCAGCTGAGAGAGCTGAAGTGGTATGTGGAGGATGGAGATTTGGAAATTCTTTTTTTATTTAGTGAGTGAGCAAGTCTCTTTTTATATATATATATAGATTTTGTGTTTTCTTTTTCGTTTCTGCTGACGTGGCTGACTCAGACATCTATTGTTTGGGGATAATCTGGACGACAAATAATAAAAAAAAAATGTCTGGTATTTTTACAACTTTTCCCCACTCGTACTAAACTAAACTATTAGACTATTAGTAGCAGGGTTCGGTTAGCATGCTAACCCCCCTTGGGTTGGAAAAATGACACCCCCTAGTATATTAAATACAATTATAGAATTTAATACACACATTAAATCCACATTAGAAATTAAATGTACCATATTAATTAGTAATTCTCTCACTATTAAATACACATTAGAAATTAAATACACACATTAAATACACATTAGGAATTCTCTCACTATATTTTATTTTTCCTTTTTCAGCAGTCTCCGACCGCCACACTTCTTCGGTGAAAATCCCATCGGCAGACTCCCTCCGACCACCTCCAAAAAATATACCACTGCACTGATACGGTGTACCACTGTACTGGTAGATATATCACTGCACTGATACGTTGTACCACTGTACTGGTAGATATACCACTGCACTGATACGTTGTACCACTGTACTGGTAGATATACCACTGCACTGGTAGCGATATCAGTGCACTGGTAGCAATGTCATATCTGAGTATCAGTGCAGTGGTACAAATACCAATAAAGTGGTAATTAATGTGGTGTATTTAATGCTTACTTTGTATTTAATAACAGAACATTTATTTTGTTTACTTTCATTAATACTTGTCAATATTTAATGAAAAATTGACCAATTAAAAGGGGGTGTCAAAAAACCAACCCCTTAAAGGGTTAGCATGCTAACCCGTCCCTTAGTAGCATTTGTTTATGTGTTAGTGTGATCAAATGTGTTTAAATGTAATTGAGGAACTATATTTACATTATGTTTGTTTCCTAAAATGTTGCATATTTGTTAGAGTTAAGCTTGCGCAGGACAATATGGACGTTACGAACAAATTGCGATTCTTAAAATTTTGGGTATTAATTGCCATTAATTAACTTCACACAGTATTGTTTGGCTGTTTAGGTTATTCCCTTTCCTTTGACAAAAAAAGAAGTTATTTTTATTTCCTTTCCGCAGCGTTACCGTACAATGTACATGGATACTTAAAGAATGTGTAATTCCAGTCCAGAGTTACACAAGACGATTTCCTTCTTCTTCTTCTTCTTCTTCTTCTTCGATACTAGAGTAACGTATGGATAGGTTGAGGGAAGTCATACATTTACTTCGGACTCAGGCGAGCAAAACGGGATAATTGTGAGGGAGCCCGGCCCAACGTGAAAAAAATAAATTAATTTGGGCCCTCGGCATAAGTGGATTAGGGTATGTGTTGAAGGTCTATTACGAATTGAGATAAAATCAAAACCTCATATCTGAACTAGCTTCAACCCTGCCCGTTGGGCAGGTATTCTTTATATATATTTTTTTGTAATATCCCATAATCTTTTGGTAACATGAAATTAGGCATCATAAAAAATTATAAACTAAGTCTTTGTTATTGATTATGGTGGTTCTTACTTCTTAGTTATTCTTAGTTATGGAGGTAAAGTTTGTATGGTCAAGATTTATAAGAACCGTTTGAGGAGGTGTATTATTATGTTCTTATAGAGGCCATATTGAGCCTTTATGATTTAGTGCTCAAAACTTAATTAATCAATAACATTTTGCTTTTCATGCCTGATTGATGTTTATATGTTTTTTTTGTTGTTTTTTTTCGTCATGATTTGTTGAATGGTCTTATATACTCACCTTAACGGCAAGGAGAAAAGAAAAGAAAAAAAAAAGGCCTTTCATACTTACATTGATAAAAATTTCAAATCTTCTCAACCACTCATCTTAATATCTTTTTGACGACGATCATATCATAACCAATGCCAAAGCTCAATAAATGATGAGTTTGGATCTTTGACTTATATTTTTATTGTAAATTATTATTCTCAAGCTATGAAAAACATATGAAAATATATCTTAAATATCCTTAATATAGTAAAATGTATTTGAATAAATTAGTTTTTGCCTCAAATCTCTACTCAAGAGAATCAGTCAGAATATAATAACAACACCTTGAAAGCATCACTTCAATCAAAAGCAAATGGCTAATCTCATGAAAGCCTTGTCAAATTTGCAATAAAATGTTAAGAAATATATGTCAATTTTCCACATTCTTAGCATTAAGGAAAGGAAAAGAAACTCAGATCAAGCGATTAAGGGAAAATATATAAACAAAAAGTCAAAGATAAATTGCAAGCGGCAACAACGAACCTTAACTGGGTAGTGAAGAAGCAACAGGTACAATAATCAATAATCATTATGCCATAAAACAATGTTCATGCCTATGATTACTGAGAAACCGAAAAATAAGAGAGGGAAACAACTAAATGATGCAAACAAAGTGCAGCAGTGAAATCGACGTTGCAGATGGGTTTCGCTATTAGTGGCCAAATCTGCGGAGGCAAATACCAACAATACTGGTCCAACACAGTGAAAAAAGAAGGAACCTGGGTAAGAAATTCAATTGAATACAATGGAAGTTGGATTAGGAGGTAGGTTTTCCGGGTCTGAATTGCGGCCTCTTACTGGGAGACTAAAGGGAGAATTCAACACAAAATTGGGTAGCGCAATTGACGGAATTCGACTGGTAAGGGCTCTTGGTGAAGGAGTCGGATCAGTGGCGGGATTTCTACCAGCGGCAACGAATTGAAGGAGTTCGTTAGAGGACCCGATAGCGACGGCAGCGGAGTGCTCGTGTGAGCAAAATCACCGCCGGAAGGAGGATATGGAGTGGTGGAGAAATAACGGTTATAAGAAAGTTTTTACCGTAGGGAATATGAGACTTTTCCAATTACACATATAGAAGATAGAACGGCAAGGTAAGGGTGGAGGAAGGGGAGAAGGAACCGCCGTCGTGGTGGGTTATTGGGTTTTTTTCCGGAAGTAAACAAACGGCGGAATCGGCGTCAACAAATAGAAGAAAGGGTTGCTGACGTGGATAGCTTCGGGTTTCAGTATGGATTACGTGGCATGGGGCCAAATCTAAAAGGCCTTTAATAATTTTATAGAAATAAGATTAAGTAGCTCGTTAGAGATGACAATGGAGCGGGTTTGGGACGGATTTTCATGAATCATTTATTTTTATTTCCAAATATTCAAATTAATACCCGCATCGCGTCATACCTATGTTGGAAGGTTTTGCATCCCTATTCACATATCCGTGGTTTTCAGGTACCCATCGATAGTACTCACCTCTTACATCCAACATTACTATAATTCAAATTCAACATGTATATATTTAATAATAACACTAAAAGGACCTAATAAATCATGACCATGTAGTATAATACTATCCAAATCATTCATCGACTCTGACACATTTATTAAGCAAAAAATAACTAACTTAATCTTGTTGAAAGGGAGGAACACATTAATTAAGCAAAAAATAAGTAACTTAATCTTGTTAAAAGGGAGGAAGGAGTGAAGGAAGAACTGAGGAAAATAAATTAAGGTTTGGTTTGATTGACCACTCAATTACATTTCTAACTCTTTATTTTGTTTTGAATTATCCTTCTTTCATCGACAAGTTAAAATTTGATATCTTTGTTTTGTTTATATGAAGATACTCTTGGTGGAAGGGTATTGGTATGGGTAAGGCGGGGCACAAGAGTCTAAAACCATACACACCTCATTCCCATCAAGCGTTTTGTGGGGTTTACTCATGCCCTCCCCATACCCTATCAATGTGGGGATTTCCTGCATTTAGAAGGTCGACAACGGTCGGATACCCGCAGTTGTGCGTTTGATTGCCATCCCCAGTGCTCATGCGTCCTCACGTAAGAGAGAGGTTAGAGTGCTAACAACCAATTTTCTTAGCATGATGTACGTAACCTGAGTATGTAACCAATAAACTAAGTCAAACTCACAAAGAGCTCGGGGTAACAAAAATAGAGCCTTCCTGACTATCAAGTGAGCCGCCCTATTGTTCGCACGATCAACAAAACTCAAAGTGATTGCACTAACAACATCCAACAAAGAACAAACCTCCCTATAAATCGAAGGCCGATACTATGGTGCCGCTAGAAAAAGTGCGGCATGGGTGCGGCAACTTGTGATTGGTCCACGTAAATGATGACATGGCACTGCTTAAATGTATTAAACCTAGTATCAGACTCTGTAACCACTAACCATGAACCGGTCGAATTGCTATTGGCCAAAGAAACGGAGACGTATCTATTTCCATCTGCCATCTATGGATCTCCGTCTTCCTCTCTCTCTTGCTCAGGCGGACTGTCAGTAGCAGTTCCAGCGAACTTGTGTGCCCCGCTGATCCATTCTCCAGTCTCTGGCATTCGGCTCACTGATCTCCTTGTATCTGTACTGTAAGTATCCCACCATAATCTTCCATTTGAATATGATGGTTACTCCTTGTTCCTTACCTTCCTTTCAGGGCCGTCCCATAATATTCGGAGGCCCTGTTCGAAAATTTAAAATGTGGCCCTAAAATTTTTCTCCACAAATTTATTAAAAATAAAAATTATTAAATAATTATAAAAAATGCATAGTCTGAGAAAATGATTACAAAAGAAATAAATGATCACGTTTCTAGTTTGACGAAGAAACCAAAACCAAATTCCCAGGGCTGTCTAATGCTTCGTGGGGGCCTTGTTCCAAAATTGAGACGTGGTCTAAATTGACTTTTAACTATAATAAAACTAAAATGACTGTAATATCTTTCTACATAGTTTAAAATAAAATTAGGGTAATGTCTATTTTTTATCCAAACCTTTTTCAGATTCTTTTATATTATCCAAACCTATTAAAAATTTATTAATTAGTCAAATATTTCATAATGCACCAAAATATTAGTCATTTTTACGTTATTGTTAATAATTCTGTAACTCTTATCTTAGTTAAAATACTAAAATTTTGGAATCTTGACCTTCATGT